TCCCAGGAACTGCCCCACATGGTCCCCAGGAGTTTTAAAACAATGCAATCCACCAAAATTCTGCAAAGAGTTTTGTTAGTTCTCCTGCCAAGTGTCCTGCTTGCCAAGATGTATCAGGACAATGTTCTTGTTTGGTTTTCAAAGGGAAGGGAAGGAAGGGATAGCTTAGCTTATAGCAATTCCCCCTTTGAACCCCTGGAACTATGCAGAAAGTAACCAGCCAGAGTATTGCCACAGCTTGAACAGAACAAGAAGCACTGAGTGAGGAAGGGGTGATGAAGATGAGGCAGAGGCTCAGCCTCAGTCTCTGCAGTCCTGAGGAGGTTCCTTCTCCCTGCTCTCAGGTGCTGTTGTGCCCTGTGCATGCTCCTTCTGTGAGTAATGATGTTTCACTGGGTTTAGGCGCAGTGGCAGTCTGCTAAGTACAGGTTCCTCTTGGTCATCTGCCCTGTGGTTTTGGGTGCTTAAATCAATGATGGTGTTTTATAATGCTGTGATCAAATAGCATATACAAAGCAGAAGGTTTTTCAGATCTGTTTTACTCTTGTCCCATGTAGTCTGAGGTGGGATAAAGCTTTTGCATCCTCACCTGACAGAGTAGTTTCCAAAGTGTTCCCTCCCTCTCCATTCCCACTGAATCCCCTGGAAAATCTTGCTTTTGCAAGCAAACTGAACTTAATAAATAAGGCTTCTCCCATATCCTATGGAATTCCTGTTCAGAGAAAAATCAATCTATTTTTCCAGCATTTGAATCTGTGTAAATTCTTTGGTATGCTTTTCCTGGGGAGAAAGCTCTTTGGAAGAAGATAACTGTAAATGAAATTGTAAAAGGACATGGTGCCAGTGGGATTTTTAGGTAGGCACATGATACATTCTGTATAAATGGCTGTTAGATAATTAAATAGCTACACAGGAAGTCAGATTGATAATGTTTTAATATTTCTGCTAAACAAACCTCCCCCAGGGTGTTCCAGGTGTTGCATTGCAGCTGGTCTGGGACTGAGGAGCTGGAACAGGAGTGTTTATTTTTAGACTGAATGTCTACTGATCTTTTAGTTAACAGTGTCCCTGGAATCGACCTGCTTTCATAAAAAGTACCAGAAGAACCTAAATAGTGATAAATTGAGGAATCTATGTAGCTCTTGGGCTTCATGAATTGTACAGATAAACAAACTAAAGTTAACAGCTGCACCACTTGCCAGAGTTCTGTTGCAGGATGGAAAAAAAGCCACTTTCCCCTTCCCTACCTGGATGCTGTCATGCACATCCCCCCCAGCTGGGAGAGGAGCAGGGGGCCTTGCTGTATTTTCAGTCCTTTTTAACACAGCAGGAGAGAAACTAGATGAGAGAAAATACTGCAGCTGCTTTACATTACCTCACTTCCCCTTCTCCTCCTCCTCCCCTCCCTTAAGGACTGGCTTTATTCTGGATGTTCTGTGTCCTGGGAGCACATGACAGTGAGGGAGAACAGTGCAGCAGTTTGTGTGCCCTCAGCCTCATCCCCTGCCCTTTCATGGTACGTGCTGCACACAAGTTGCCATTAAGCTTGGAGTCAGGAAATGTTCTCAGGAGAGGTGTGTGCCTGCCAGCCAAAGATGGTTATCCTAATAAATGCAACAAAATCCTGCAGGAACACTGTCTTAAGACAGCAGCTTTTAATGCTGAAATTAGTTACTTTCCCAGTTTGAGAGATTGTCACTGCTAGAATATGATTATCACCTTTGGAATTATGTATACAATTATTCTATGCTTTATGCTTATAAATAGTGTATGCAAGACTTGGGTACTTGCAGAATTGAGAAGAAGAATATTTAGGTTATAAATGTATAGCTTGGTTTGTTATTTCAGTACTAATTCCTTTCATGCAGGATGTTTCTCCTTGGTGAGAGGCTGCAGTGTGTTGGTGGTGAGCAGGGCTGGTAAATAGCAGGGGTGATGCTGCTGTGTCTCCTGGGCTCTCTCACAGGCTTTAGAATTCAGTGTTTCCCACTGAGTCATTACAATTCCCACTAGAAGTGTGTGCTTCATTGTTTTTGGTTTTGTTTTTAAGCATTCTACAAGCAGGCAGGCAGGAAAGGTCACATATTGGTGGGATCAGCTGCCATTAACTCAGAATTGGACCCTCAGCATGGGTGTAGGGCTGTACAGCTGTGCACTGTGTTGTCACACATCTAAGGTAAGATATATAACCTTATAGAAGATGGATAGAAGAGAGGTTCATGAAAAAACAAATTTTGGTATTTCAGTAAGGTTTGTGAAGACTTGAAAGCAGGAAGCTTAGTAAGGAGTTGGACAGAGGAATAAATGAGTCAGTAGCAAGTCAGGATGCTCCTGTGGTGTGACCAGCCCTCTTCTGCTTTATTAGCTGCCTTATGATGGTAAAAAAGGGTTTTGTACTTGTCTTTGTTCAATCCCTTCTTCCAGACCACTTTGAACTATTTAGTTAGTTTGAACCAAGAGTGTCAGAGTAGAGGACTAAGGTGTAATTAAACTCCTTCCCTTCAGGGGAAGAAACTGTTAATAGAGGGTAAAGTTGTGATTTGTGGGAGCTTGGAAATGAAGAAGTTTGAGAGGAAAGTCAGGAGAGAGAAAACACGTTTGTTGGAGAATGGGAGGAATTAATGCCAGGGAGATCTGAATGCTTGTAACTGCTGTAAAAATCTCATGTGGATTGATGAAGGGAAGTTCCTGCACTACAGCCCCTGACTGAAAAGCTGTATTTGATATTTCCTGGAGAAGGGCATACTGTTTCCTTCTGTAATGAAGGAAGTAAAGTGAAACATAATTTGTGTTCAGCAATCACTTCAGCAACTCTTTATTTTGTCACTAGCCCCTAATAAAATTTTCACTGAAGAAATTAAAATATATTCTACCTCCTCTGTTTTCCTTTTTCTTCTCCCTGTGTTCTCCCATTTCCCCAACCTTGTGAGTCAGTGTTCTGGAGTTCATTCCCAGAGAACTTGACATGCCAAGTACCAAGTGCCAAGGCAGAGGCAGTGACTTGCACTGCTCCTGGTGGAAAACATCCCATAGCAGGGGGGAGGCACCAAGTCCCCTTTTTCCCAACACAGTTCCAAGCAGGCAGAGCCATCAGAGGGGTTGGGACTCATGGGTGTGGATGCTTGTGTTCTGTCTTGGTTTTTTTATTTTATTTTAAATGTTGTAGAAATCCACACTCAAGTTTTGTTAAAAGGGTGAAACATTAAAGACTAACTGAAATTTATTGCAAAGAAATGACCCCATTCAAGAGGGGAAGCAGAGGAAATGTATGTTTAATTCCCTGCATTGCTGCCACTTGACAGAGCAAGGGAGAATTCCTGGTTTCTGCCTCTTCTGTTGATGTGTGTTTATCTGAGGGGCTGATGCTAAACCAGCTGACTGAAACTGCTGGGTAATAAATGGCAAAAGAAAATAATAACGTAAGGGGTGAGGAAAATAGACCACTAGCCAAATCTTTCATGACGCGTTTGTTTTAATAAGTTTAGCAGTTTCTTCATCACAGATATTTGGGATGTGACTAATCATTAAATGACACTAATTTTATTTTTATTCAAGAAGCAAAAAGCAAAGGTCATTTGTGTTGGCATGGAGTAGTCTGCTGAGAAAAATTCTGGGTATTAAGAGAGGTTTTATATAATTCTGAAAAAAAAATTAAGCCCTGTGCTTCTGTCAACCTACAATACTTAGTAACAACAAGCTATACACTATGGTGGTGAGATTTCAGAGTGCCTTAATTCCTATTTCAGAGTGCCTTATTCCTATTCAGAGTGCTCTTTATTCACATTTATTTGCCTTTACAGAGGTTTGATGAACTTGCTTTAAAATCAGTTTGCTCCTTCATCTGTTATCATGTAGTGCCACCCCTGCAGTTTGTTAGCAGGCTGGGATGTCTTCATGGAGCACCACTGACCTCAGCATGCAAGTACTGCAGTCTGCTCTTGCATGAAGAGTTGCAGTGTTGGGCAGGCCAGGCTGGGAATATCAACTTTCCCTCTTTGTTTATTACAACAACCACGGCCAACCTTTTTTACAGAAAGGTTTGCTTATGAGGGTTTGGATTTATGGAAAGTGAGGACATTTGGGTGCTGTGATTTGTTGATGTGTAACCTGGTCTCTGAAGGCTGGTGCTAACCCTTAGGAGTAGGTAATTTATTACTAAAAAACCTTTAACCTCGTGGTGTTCTACTAACTTGGTTAGGCAGTTGCACCTTTCTCTTACTTTGCTGAAAGCTTTTATTTGCCTGACTTTTCCCATGCCAAAAGAGACTCCAAGGAGCTGCACTGCTCTTGCTTCCTCCAGATGCAGTTCTTATTGGCTCTCTGCCTGCTGGGTGCAGTGAGCTTCAGGCACTTTCTCAACTGAGAGCATCTCCTGTCTGTTCTCTTTCCAAGTTAAAAAGTACATGTAAGTTCTTGTAGGGCAAGTTGGGATCCTCTCATGTAGTGCAAGCTCCTGTGCCAAATCACAATCTTGTTCTGCCCTTGAACTTTATGCAGGCATCCTGTTTTAATCAGTACCTGACTCTGAATGAATTTCCATATGTTCACTCTGATTTCCAAAATCTGATCTATAGACTAAAGATAATGAGTTGACTTGATGATCTCTGCAGAGTGAATTTAAGTCTTAGTTAAGGCATAAGTAATTACACTGGAGAATGTAATGCCTTTAAAGTTCAGATAGGCAAAACAGGTTACATTTTATTTGAAATTATACACACCCTCCTATTTCATATTAAAATTTTTGATATTCTGAATTTGAAAAGCCTTGAAAACTGTTAAAGCATTCCCCATTTCACAGGTTATCTTTTCCTTGGATAGTATTCCTATACTACTGGAACCAGCCTGCCTGCAGTACTGGTAAAACTCAAAAGAGGGGTTCATTTTCATCATGGAGTTTTGAATTCTGATGTATTCATACCAGTATTTGGGAATCAAGAGAAACTTGTCCAAGTTGACTGTAATTTGCAAACTCATCAGGATATTTGCTCTTTTGTTTACAGACTTGATATTTGCAAGTTCCCGACCTTGACAGCAATCACCATGGATAGTGGTAAGTTTAACCTACTGACGAGTGTACATTCTCCATTATTTCCTGTTAAGCAGACAGTAACACACCCCAACACTCTTCTGCTCATAATCCCAGTCTCTTTGCACAAAAGATGCCCTCTGGCATTGAACTGGCTTTGATGTTACAGATGATGCAGAACTTTGCCCACACTGAGCTGGAGTCATGCAACTGTTCTGACAGAGATATTATTTACAGACCATAAAAATCATCACAGCCTTATTGTTGCCCTTTGAAAGCTGGTTGCAGAATGAAGACCACAGAGCTGAATTTCCAGCCCTGAGTACTTTAGTTTTAACTAGTTTTAAGCTTGTCTCTGTAACTCCTGATTCTCAGAGCAGAACTCACTTTTTAAACTTTGTAAGTAAAAGCACAAATTCAAACCAAATGGATTTGTTAAGGTGACCTACAGAAAGATGTAATAGCAGCAGGAGCTTTGAATTTAGAGCTAAAATGTTTATTTTTACTGTTTACTGGCGATTTTAGTCTGCTTAAATGGGTAAGGAGTCAAAAAAGGAAGCTCAATCCTGGTCTCAGTGGTGCTGGTTTTGGTGTCCAGGCTGTCCCAGGCTTTGCTTCAGCAGCACTTCAGTGTCTCAGAATGCTTTTCCCACTCTGCTGCACCCTCTTCCCTCTGTCACTACAGACCTAAAGCCTCTTTCCTTTCCCTGTGGCAGCTTCAGCTGGCAGGCTGCAAAATATTTATCCTCTTGTGTCTGTGCCTGGCTCCAGTTCTGATTGAGTTTCACCTTGGTAGAGTATCCATTCACTACCAGGATAGCAGGCAGCCTTTCCAGAGGGGGTGCAATAAATTGATCTGACTGTATTGTTCTCTTCAATAACAATAAGTGAAATTAAGTCTTTGGAAGCTTTCTGATACATAAAAACTTGGTAAAAGCCACTTATTACAGTTCCATACAGAGCACAAGCATGTCTGAAGAAATTATGTATTCAAATGCATTAAATTTGGTAGTTGTATAATGTCCTATAATGTCTATATCCTACAAAAATTTGGGAAGTAGAAGAGACTTTGGATGATTTGTGTCTTTTATAATGCCAAAATAATGATTTTTACTTCTTTTTTATCTTTTTTTTTTTGCTAGTTAATCTCCCTAACAAAGTGAAAAAGTGACTTATCTTGCTTCATTTCTTTATTCTTACACATGTAACTCTTCCCTGATTGTGTTGAGCTCCACAGTAACAGCTGCAGTGAATTCAGCCACGCTGTGGCTTAGCTAGATGGGCACCCAGCCCAAATGGGCTTTTTGCACACTCCTGTCCTACTGTAGCTGAGGATCTACATGGTTATGGTCCTGGAATACTAAGAAGTCAGAGAGGGTTCTGCAATACAGTTCCATTATCTTTTTTTATAAGGTTCATCAGGCAGTGCCTGATTCTCATTAAATCCCTGTATTGCAATTGCAGGTTTTTATTTCCTTGATACATTTGTGTTGACTTCTCAACAGGATTTGAAGTCACTAGGATTATGCAAAGCATTAAAAATTTCACATCCAAACAAACAAGTTAATTTACTTCATTTTTATTTCCACCCTTGCAGGGTCAAAAGGCATTCCAGGTCTAGACTAGCCAGAGATTGTTATTTATCAGATGTATTCATAATTAAGATGGGATGCAGTTTATTTTCCTCAGCAGGCTTTTTTGTCTCTGTAGTATGTACATTTTGTGTACTGTATTGAGAGAGAAGACAGACCTTCTGAATATGAGTTGTTAAATAAAAACTTCAAAGACTTAGATAGTCATATATTGTCCATTCTTGAACTGAATTAACATTTTGTTGTTCTTCATCAATGCATTTCAGAAATGTATGATTATTTCCTGTAGGAAAACTTAAGTATTACCTAAAAACTCATATCAATATATATCAAATGCAATATTTCTTAATATACCATATTTTAAACCTTTATTTTCTTTGGAAATTGGAAAATGCATGCAGAAACAATTATTTGTATCTCATTTCTGAGAGCCAGAATCTGTAAATCAGGGTATTTTCAGCTACCTGCATTTTCCTGTGTTTCTTTTTCTTCTGCATCCGATACAAAGCTGTCATCACTTCTCTCATTGCTCTTTTTGGGGATGGATTCCAGCCATGAAATTAAATTCCCTACATTTTATCTGCTGGAGGAAGGGAAACTTAATTTATTGTGCATTATCTACTCTTCAGTGGCTCTACACATGGAACTCTTAGGAGAGTCTGGCCTGACACTTGTTCCCTTCAGGAATGCCCACGAGGAGTTGGGGGAAGCAGGAAAAGCACTTGCAGTCCATCCCCAGGCATGGCTGTGTGCTGCATTCCTCATATGGATGAATTGTTCAGCTCATCACCTTGGGCTGATCACTGAGGCATGAGGCTGAGAGAAACCAAATTATTCAGGCCTAGAGGGAAGTGAAGGGAATTGTGTGGAAAGTGGAAAAAAGCCATCTCTTACTCTTTCCCTTTTGAAGAGCTTTCTGAATATTGGTTTCTGTGTAACTTAGTCAATGAATTGCACAATAGGAGATGTCCATGTGCTCACCTGTGGTGCTGAGAAAAACCAAATTTGCAGTAGGTGCAGTTGCAGGGCTGGATGCACTGAAGCCCTGGCATCCTCATGAGCAGGGTGATTTGTGTGATGCATGCATGTATGTAATGTGTTCAGCTGCAAGCACAGGAGTCAGTGCTGGTTTGGAATTCAATCTTCACATCTTCATATAATCCTTTGCAAAAGGAAGATCACTGTCTCATGATTTATAACCACGTTGTGACTGACTGACCCTGGCTGCTCTGTCACCCCCTCCACCATGGTCTGCACCTTGGGCTCCAGGGGAATCTCAGCTCTGGCACCTGGAGCTCCTCCTCCCCTTCCTTCTCCACGGGCACAGGGTCATTTTCTGGCAGCTTCTCACAGGAGCCACCCCTGCAGCCTGGCCATGGAGATCCATTACAGTACTATACCACAGACACTAAACAAGTTGAGATTAGTTATGCCTAATTATGCTAATCTGTGCTGGCAAATACCACCACTTGTTTCTAAAGCAAAAACACAGTTTCCTTGCTGCCCACCCTTTATAACATTAAAAATCACATGATTAAGGGAAAAAAACCCTTCAGACTAACTACAAATGAAGCAATGCACAAATGCTTGTGTAGCCAAGAAAGTGCTACAAATGTATTAGTGTGGCAGTGCCTTGAATCATTATCCCCTCTTGCTGGCACTCAGAGCCCAGGAACAGTGTAGCTCTGACCTGATGTTCCTGTTTCCTGACCTGAAATACCTGGAGAATTCCTGCATCATGCACTGCAGATGTACCTCCTGGGGAATTCAGGCTGATGGATTCCAAAGTGTTCCCAGTTACTGCATGTGTAAAAATCCTTGGGTCAGAGAGTTTGATGGAAAGGAACATCAGAAGAAAAGAGATTGCTTCCAGCTTTCCTCCTTGGACAGCAAACTAAGGGAAGCAAATAAAGAATACCTGTGTCAGAACATGGGTTGCCTTTTAGGGTTGTTTTGGTTGATTCATCAAATAAGGTGAGGTTTTCTATATGATTCAGAAAAATAGAGGCTACTTCCCCTCACACCCTCAGAAGAGCTCCCATTTACTGGTTGAGAGTTCAGGAGTGAAGAGAGCAAGTCTGCTTCAAAGTCGCTTAAGAAAACTTATAGACTTAAACATTGGAAAGACTTGTAAACATTGATAAATGCAGCTGTCTGGTGTTTGTGACTCTGGGTAAGAGTCATAAATATTTATATCAAAACCTTCAGAGCATTCTGGCTGTGATGCCCCCAGGCAGCAGCAAACATCATTTGGGATGTTGACAAGCAGGATTTGTTTGTTCAGTGTCAGCTTGAGCTGAGCATGTGTCTGTGTCTTCCAAGGACTCTTCTTGGGCACCAGCTTCAGTCTTGTTTCACTACCCATGACTGTGATGCTGAATTGAGGGCTGTGCATTTATGACATTTTAGCAATAACTACTGGAATTGTAGGCCCAACTATTCACCACAATGAGCAAAACTAGGAAAGGCCTTTTATCATATCAAATAAAGGGGAAGGCTTTGAAAAAATTTCTTCTCAAAGGCAGGTTTTCTGGGAGCAATTCTAGCGTGAGGTTTTGGGTGTCTATTTTAGAAGTGACCTTTGTTGATTCTCCTCTTCTTATTCAGTGTTCTTAACAGAGGACAAAGCCAACTCTGTGTTAAAAAGATACCCAAGAGCCAACACGTTTCTGGAAGAAATAAAGCAAGGTGACATAGAACATGAATGCAGAGAAGAAATCTGCAGCTATGAAGAAGCAAGAGAAGCTTTTGAAAATGAGGAAAAAACGGTATGTTTTGCTGTGTATGTAAAGATGGGTGGGGTGTATTAACACTAAACTTCTGGATGTGCTGAGTGCTTGTGTGTTTTCCAGCATTGCATTAGATTTGGTTTTTGCAAAGGGAAATTGTACTGGCAAGGGCAGTGATTTAGTGGCCAGAGTGGCACAGGGAACCTTGCAGATTTCTTCTGAAATTTACACAGGTGGCACATTACACTCTTCAATGGTTGAGCTCCACATCAAAAAATAACAGTCTATTAAGGCATACTGGACATTTTCAGTTCTTGGCATTTTTTGATGGTGTTGGTGTGTATCTCACACATAGCTGGGGAAATGGCTGGCATGAGAATTTTCTGATATATTAAAATGAAGTTGTAGGACATGTGGTTTCCCTTCAAAGCTGTTTCTTTCTGAAGCTCAGAAGTGCCTGCACATGTTTTTACCTCCCACACTTGATTTTGCATGACTATTCCTAATGATAGCTCATTGTGTAATTAAAAATAATGTGTACAATGAGACAACTTGTATAAAATTCTAACACAATATCACTGCTGCTTTTTGTTCCAGTTAGAGAAAACATAACCTAAACATGTTGTCTCTCAGCGTCTTTTTCTCATTTAGGAACATTTTTTGCCATGGTAATTAGCATTTCCCTTGCAGAGGTATTTGGGAAGTAGTTAAATAGAAATAATTACATTTATTTTCTGCCACAATTGTTGAAGGAGCTTTCAATAAGATCCTAACCTTTTATCCATTTCCACCACTGTATCCTTTTTCCCTGGCTGCTGTGTTCTGCTGTGGGGAGTTGCTAATGGGTCAGGCTCTGCTAATGTGCAGTGTGCCTGACCAGCCTCATGTGCTTGGGCTTTATTTAGTGCATTGTCCCCAGAATATCCATCCACACAGCCACTTGGTGACACTTAACATTTGTGTCCCAGGGGAAGGGAATGGATGCAGTGCACTGGGAACATGATCCAGTGTATGCAGAGAAGCACAGGATCAAAGCTTTCACAGTATAGATAGACTGGAATTCAAATGGGGGCTGTAGCTTATTTGTCTTATGATAACTTTTTGTCTAATCTCTTTTCTTTTTAATCTTGTCCCCTTGCTTCTTTGTTTTTCTGCAGTCTTGTGGGCAGCTCTGCAACATGCAGATTTGTAATATTAAAAGAATATCAAGCAGTTCCCTCAAGTTATTTTTGGTGCATGAGTTTTTAATTAGCATTGTGTATGTCAAGTGTGCATACATGCCATTCAATATTTTCAAGGCAGGATTTTGACAGATTCCAAATTACTATTTTAAGTTAGTTATAAAGAGAAAACTATTATGTTAGACTAGAGCCAACAGGGAAGAATTTGCAGAACTTTGTGGATAAAATAGAATATGAAATTATTTGTTGACAAATGTAATGCGTGTGGAGGAATTGGGGACATTCATTATAATACATGATTGGCCCTGAAAAGAATTCAGGAACGAGATCTGGATTTCAATCTATGAAGACTTCAGTTTAAAGCTGAGCAGTTAAACAAAGCCAAAACAAAGAACCCCAAGTTCTAAGAATCTGAAATAAAGGAACAGGGATCAAATTAAAGAGCTTACCCACATCTTGAGTGTGTCCAACTCTTATCTCCCCATCTCTTTAAAAGTAAATTAGTACCTGAGGAATGACCAGAGAAGTGTGACAATTGATCAAAGATATGGAAAGACTTGTACAACAACAATAGATGATAAAATAATTGAATCAGGGGGTATGTGATGATGTCTGTGAGATGAAGGCTGAGCTGAGGTCAGTCACTTGCCATCCTTCTGATAGCAGAGCTGAGAGGAAACTGGGAAGGTTCAAAGCAAATAGAAGTCTCTCCTCAGCACAGCTAATGGAGCTGTGGACTGCCTTGCCGCAGGATGTCTCAGATCCTAAAAGCTTGTACAGGTTCAGAGAACAGTGATGTAAATGAAGGGAAGTTAAATCAGTCTGGAACCATTAATTAAAAGGATTCAACTTTGCCTAATGGAAGTTCTTAAGGTACAAATATGTGAAATGTGGGAGAGTATCTCTCCGCAGCAGCACAGTAACCTGCCTGTGTTTGAACTCTTTCAGCAGTCTCTAATGATTACTGTCAGAAGTTAACAGATAAGGTGAGCCCTAGGTGTGACCTTGTAAAGCTGTTTATTGTGGTGCTTACAGCCTGCAGGCAGTGCTGCATGTGGTCACTGGTCAGGTGTCAGAGGTTGTTGGGAGGCTAAAAGATTTATTCAAAGGTTACTGTGCTAAGTAGCTGAGTGGGATTGTAGCACTGATATTAATTTAATTTCCATTAACTCATTTTTTTTAAATTAAACTGCATGAAGATTTTAAAAGCTGTAAGTCACAGATTTTCATTTTTGTTGCAAATTTCCAGTGAATTTTAAATATTGCAAAATTTGCCAAATTCTCTTTGTTTTACTCAAGCAAAACGAACAAACTACTGCTAAAAATCTTAGTAATCAACTCAGAACTTGTCAACACCAGACCTAAAATTATCTGATCAAGTAAGACTTCCAGTGTTGCTCTGTGTGTAATTATGGATGCTGGATAAACTCTCATATGAGAAGATGTGAATCTTTTCCTGCTACTTGAAACTGGGGGCAGACCAGAAGGGAAGAGTGTGGCAGGTGCCCTCACTTCCCCTCACTGCTCTGCTCTCTCCCTCTGCCTGGGGAATACCAAGCAGTCTTCTAACTTGTTATCAGTCCACCTTAAAAACAAGTCAGGCAATTGACAAAGAATCATTTGAGGGTGACAATGCTGCCAGCTGCAGTAAAGGCCTCTCCTGAAATTCTCAAGTGAGTCTTGACTTCCTTGTGGATCCCTAATTTGATTCAGCATTCAGATCCAGCTAACTGATTCTGACTCTGTTCTGAGAATTACAAATGAAAGGGAAACAGAATTCTGGAAAAATTTGCTGTTACTGCCTTTGGGATGCCTTTGAGAATTCCTTTTCGTTATTTCAAACTGGATTTGCCAAAGCACTAAGGTACATTCAGAAAAATAGTTCTTGGCAGGAATATATGTTAGATGTTTTCTGAGTATTTTCCATTGCAGTTATCTGAGTCTGTGGCCTGCTTAAGTTTTTCAGCCTTGTAAGGCTTTTACACCTGGTGTTCCCAGTTGTACAGCACTCAGGGATAAATGATTACCGAAGTGCCCTTTTCATTAATCACAAGCTAGTAATTTTGTCAAGCAGAAAGTCCTTTCTGTTGTTAGTTAAAGAAACCAGCAGTTGTGGGAGGGATGTTTGTTCTGGGAGTTTTCCAGCTTATAAATTACTCTTTAACTTTCTGTATGAATTTTACAGATACTTTGTAAATTTTCAGTCTTCCTCTCTTGGTCTTTTTGAAGCAGTAGTTCTTTTACAGACAGCAGTTTGTACAAATCCTCACACTGTTGAGGTTGTCTGTGGCTTTGTTAGGCAGGATTTGACTCTGACCAGATGTGTTGTCCTCCTCCTGCACCACCCCTTTACTCTGCAGTGTAGCTGTGGGTGGCAGAGCAGAGGGAGAGCTTGGCACCTGTGCAGCTCAGACCTGAGGGATGAATTTCCTGCAGTTCCTGTCACCTGTGGCAGTCTGGGGCTGAAGGTCTTTGTGCTTCTCTTGGAGAGCTGACTGGCAAAAATGCAAGCTGGGAACCCAGGATCTAGTATGCTAACAAGGTTATTCCTTGTGGGGTTTTGTGAAGTTGTTTTTTGGTTGTTCTTTTCTTTTCCCAAGAAGAACATTTAGAGATTTTTTTTTTTAATGACTAAGCAGGTGTTTTTCACCTGTGTGCAGAACTGTATTCCTCTGTCTGTGTGTTAGACCTAAAGTAATTTCTGACCAGGGAGTGGGGAGTGTCTCAGCTGTCTTGAGTTTTCTTTGCTTTGGATGTAAATGAAAAAGGACATTAAGCTACTTTAATCCTTAAGGCAGTTTACACTCTTTTAGCTCTTTATGCATTTGTCTGGTCACATCACCAAGTCAGCCATCCCCAAAGCATCACACCCTGTTCTGCTCTAAGTGCCTGCCACTCTGGGGGGACAGAACAGATTTTCTGCTGCTTTGCAGAGTAGCAGAGTGCCAAGGAGAGAAACTGCTTCAGCTTTCTGAAGATACAAAGACATTTTCTACAGCAGATAGATCTGCCCTAGAACTAATGTGAAAACAATATTCAAAGACCAGTCACTATTTACTACCCTTCTAGTGGAGAAGGTGCCTTTCCTATGCAGTCTGCAACACATAATGGATTGTTAGGGGAGAAGTGTAATTTCTTCTTTTTCATCAAAACTACCTTTCTCCTCCAAAGAGTCTTTAAAATGACAAATCCTTGCACTGTATATATAATGACTTTCAGTAAATCTTTGGTCTTAAAAACAAACATCTTACAATTTTATTTCTTTGCTGCCATTGAGGCCACAGAACAGCAATGTGGGAAGTTTGGTCCCAGTACATACATACATATGGCAAGATTTCATAATCCTAATTAATCCTTTTCTGCTTTTTTTTTTAGTTAGCAATATCTTATTTATTCCACTAAGCAATCTAGTTAGCTGTATTCTTACCAGATGCAAAAGTAATAGGTATTCTTAATTGCCTGGTGGTCTGCTGGAGAGAGGGTGAGGTGTTTGGTTCTGCCAGGTTTTATCATGCAGAGATCCCAAAAGCTTTCAGTTGTGCAGCTGATGGCATTTTTCAGTGTTAGTTCCCCCCAAAATACATTTTCCTAAACTCAGAACTGTTGGTTTGGGGTTCACTGTGGAACACATGTCAAGGAGAGCCCTTGTAGAGAAGTATTTAGAGTCCATCTTTGCAGTCTGTCTTGCTTTGTTTGAAGCCAGTGCCACCTGACACAGCTTGGATGATTTGGACCTGGGTTCACATCAGAGGGGCATTGTGACAATCTGCTTGTGGTGTCAAGCCTTAAAATTTAGGGAAAATGCCTGATCCTGGATTGGTGTAGGAGTTGAAATTGTTTTGGTTTTTGAATTTGCACAAAGACATAAGAACATCTGAATTTATCTTTGGAAAGGAAAATTTACAGGAGAGTCAATTGTTTCATGTACATGGCATTGCTCTAAACCTGAGTAAATTCTGACCCAGAAGTGTTGATAGTGTTTGTTTTGTCCATGTTCCCTGGTGCTGCCTTTGCACAGGGAAAGCTTGGCCTCCATGCCAGAGGGATTGTGCTGCTTCTGGACTCAGGCTGCCTCTGGGGTGGCGTTTTCTGCTTAATGCTCATCATGTGCCATCAGGCCTGAGCTAAATAAAATGATGAATCTGATTTGTCTGTGCACAAAGTCAGTCTGCAACCTAAATACATCATTTGCTAGCAACTGAGCAATTACAATTTCAGTTCTACCTGGTGACTATTTTATAAATAGTTGCATGAAATGTGTGCTGTCATTTAAAATTAATGTGATGCTGGCAGGAGGATGAGAGGGTCAAGCCTGTGCATTTTTAAAGAAAGCTAGAGTTCAGAGATTCTGGCACGGACTAGGGGGGTGTCATTGATTATAGGTTTTTGGGGTTTGGGGTTTTAATTATGCTACAATATACTAAAATGTTCTAAATTGTGACTATAAAATGCAGTGGAAATGTTTCATAGTAGGAGAGACATTACAGGTGAGGATGGCTACTCTTTTGAGGCAGGGTATTTTCTTTTTTGCTGTTTCTTCACAGCATTCACTGCAGAAGGAATGTGATGGTAACACAATATTTGTACTCCCATTTGCTTATATTAATATAGCAAAAAGGACTTTCAAGTATTGGTGTCCCCTTTCATCTTTGTTTTTGCTTGTTCATATTTTCACTTTATGTTTCATTTATCTGTAGCTCTGTTGTCAAGGTTTCTAGAATGTAATAACCTGTGTAATAGTCTCACAGTTTTGGGGCTATTTTTAACTGTTAACAGAGGATCTGGATCAACTCAAACTAAGCTGACAGTGATTTCTGTATGAGCCAGAGGGTGGGGCATGTCTAAATTATGATAAGACAGTACAGCATAGTTGTGCTTAGCCAGAATGGTCTGTCATTGTGAGCTAGTGTTTCTATGTCCAATATTACTAGTGTATTATTTCAATTTTAAAACAAACAAACCCTAAACTTGTGCCTTGAGTGGTGCTGACAGATTCTGATCCACCACATGGCTGATGTGCATGCTGGTTAGGCAGGGGCTTTTGAGATATGTTTTTCCTAGTTTGTTTTGTGGTTTGGTTTTTTCCTTTTCTGACTGTATTATCACTTAGTCCTGCCTCTGCTGCATGTTTGTAAACATTGAGTGCAGATATAAGAATGTTAAAAGTGGTGAGGAGTTTGTTTGCAAAAACCAAATCCCTTTTGTATCACTAAGAAGAAGAAAAATTGAAAGTTTGTGTGTGCTTATCCATGCCAGTTCTTATTTTAATCATCAATATTTGAAATACCTTTGTTTTTGTCCTCATTCTTTAAAACAACCTGCTTACATTGCTTGTTTTTTATTAACTGTGTTATAGTTTCTGACATGTTGCGTCTTGCCCTTCTAGAAAGAGTTCTGGAAAGTCTACAAAAACGGACTCCAGGGAGAAAGTAACACAGGACATAGCTGGTATTCATTTTACCTCGCATTTCCATTAATCATCGGCCTGTTCGTTATCCTCATTGTGGCGTTTGTCATCTGGAGGTGCCTGTTCAAGAAGAAGCTGCGGCGGCAGTCGGTGTACCGGGGAGCGCCCGCCGCGCTGGGCGAGGGCGCCGCGGGCCGAGGGCCCCGCCCGCCGCCGCTGAGCGCTGTGCATTCCCCGCAGGAGGAGCTGTTCGAGGGCACCGGGCTCTCCCCGGGGGGGCTCAGCTATTCGGATGCACGCTCAGACTCAATATCCACCCGGCTCTCAAACTGCGATCCTCCTCCTTCCTATGAGGAAGCCACTGGGGAGATCAGCGTGAGAAGGATCGAAACTGAGCAGCATTTAGATCCACCCCCACAGTACGAAGACATTGTGAACTCCAGTTCAGCCAGTGCCATTGCGCTGACCCCCATTGTCACCAGTTCTAAGTAAAACAAGAAGAATGCCATGGACCTTTTAAAAATCATTAATCATTTTGTAGCACTTTATCTTGGCTTATTATGCATTTCTGTAATTTAACGGACTTGTATACAATGAATTTCACCTTTTTTAGGTTCACTCGTTCTTTGGGTTTGGGATTTTTTTTCTCCTATCAAATGTCTTAAAAGATAAGGAATCTGTATTGAGAGTGTAGTGCAGATACAGATGTGGTGCTCTGTCATACTTCTCAAAAGTACCTCTGTTTTGAAGGACATCATTTGTTTTATTCCAAACACTGTCCACATTCCCCACAAAATTTGTGGGATCTCCCTCCCCTTTCTTAATGCAGACTGTCAGAATTCCCTGCAGTAGGGAATCCTTAAGCAACATTTTAATAGTTATTTACACTAGAGGGGACTGATTTTGCAGTATTGCCTCTTGTCTGGTTTGTTCCTTTTTCAGTTTTTGTTGCATGCTGCAGCCTCTCCTGGCCCTCGGGAGATGGGAGCCTTTGTGTTCAAACCAGGATCTCTTGTGGAGAATGCTGGTGTAAGAGCAATAATTCCAGAGTCCTAGCAGGAGAGGTGTGTTCTAAAGCTTTTGCTGTTACAGCTCAAAATTCTGTAAATGCTTAGAAGCTGACAATTCAAGAAACTAATTGGTGAATTTAATGGTGGAAGTTTTTGTCTGTGTTCTGCCTTTCCTGTTTTCCTACCTGGTTTTACTGTTGTATTCTAGAGGTGAGAAGTGTGCATATGTTAACTTCAGAACTTGAAAGTTCATGCAACAGTAATAGTGAAGTATTCAAGAGTGGATAAAATCCTGATCATGGACTTCCTACTGTGATTTTCACTGGGGCCAGGATATAATCTATAAGCACATACACCCAAAGGCATTGCTCTCCTTTTTAAAGGGAGAAAAAGGAAAGAAATTCACTGTCTGTGACTTCCTTTTTCCCCCAAATATGAAAACCTTCTCAAGGTTTTGCCAGCTATAAACCCTTTCCTCAAGTTCTGATACTCCCTTGCCTACTGACATGTACTTTGTGTACACCTTGTTCTGGTGCCTGTGTGAATTCTTTGCAGAGAATATGAATATCTTTTTTCACCAACAAATAAATTTATTGCTTATCCATTCCAACAAGGAATTCTAAGAACATGCAGGCATAACCCCAAGCATTAGTGTGGAGTGACTTTTTGAGGCTGAAGAGATGGATGCAAGTTACATACAGGCTTGTACAGAATTTTATCCACTTGGTTTAGGTGGTACAAATTCTAGTGTGGTGATTCTTCTTTTACAGGTTGATTTAAAAGTTAATTGCTCAGTTTAATTTCTGAGTATTGAGTTTCAATTTTCTTTCTTCCCACACCAAGTAGCATGGCATTAGCTTAGTACTCTTCTGTGTTCTACTAATCAATTAACACCAATGGAAATGTGTTGAGCCCTGAATCATGTTATGTTGACTCTTTTACAACAGAAACCCAAACTGTCTTGTTTCAAACACCCCAGATAAAATGCCAGTGCCATCTGTTTGAAATTGCTCTCAATGTCCCTCTCATGGGGGCTTGGCCCAACTGTTCCCAAAGGATTTTTGTGAAGGAGACAGGAAGGAAATGGATGGTTATAGATGGGTGTGTAAATGTTCACTTTGATAAGAATATGATCTAACCTGTTGACAAGTGCAGTCAGGAGTTGTCATTTTTGGCAAAGAGTGGGTTGCCTTTGTTGCCTGCTGGGGATCTTCAGCTGCTAAGGCAAGTTATATTAGAGACGAACTCCTGGCCAAACTCCTGACTCCATTGTCAAAACTATAATTTGTATTTATATTCATTATATATAATACATATATTAAGATGAGTAGATAATACAGTATATTTTGGACACTTGTAGTAAAAATTGCCTGGGTTTTGTTTGTGGACTGTCAGACCTTTTCTTTTGAAGTGGTTTTAGCTCTTGTGAGTCCTGAATTGCCACTTGTGGAAGTTAAAGCTCCTTTCAAACCGAGCAAGAGTTAACAAATGAACTGCTTTGGGCAGACTCAGCAGAACAAAGTGCCTCACCCAGCATGCAGGAGCCACCTCAGGAAGAGCTGGCACTTCAGTGTCTGTGCCATATTGGCACCTCCTGTGCCTGCCAGCGCAGATGGGAGTTTTAGCAGTGACTTCCTTGCCAGGATATAGGACTTCCCTGGAGGAAATGCATGGACATCACCCATGTTGCATTAGGTTGTTCAGCAGCTGTGCTCATCCCTGAACCTGGGCAGTCTGCTTTAGTAGCTTAGGGATGGGCTGGATCTTCCCTTCTCTCTGTGTTTTCTTTACTCCCTATTCCACTGCCACTCTTGGAGGGTTTGTTTGTGGCTCCTAAGTTGAGTATGTTACTTTATCCTGTTTCTGTGTCCTGTAGATACTTTATGTGCAATCCAAAATTGATGCTTGCCATTCCAAAAAAAAGTCACAACCAAAAACTTAGTGATCTATGAGTTGAATTAATTGGACAATGCCTTTTCCATGAGTACATGAGTATGAAAGCCATTGTGGGCTATAAATTTATGTCTTGGTGAATAAATTTAATATTTAAACAAAACCTGTGTGGGACAGTTGTGCAAATGCATTTCCTCTAAAACATGAACAGTTTTCTCCATGTTGGCATAGCGTCAACTCACAAATTGTTTGTTCTGTTTTGTGAAATGTGGGAAAATAGCTTAGTTTTGTGGTTGGTTTTTCTAACCTGATTGAAAAATAAAATTTTATTTGTACTGGGGTTTTTTACAGCTTTTTTTTTTCTTTTTGTTTTACCTATCCTGTAATTGCATTGTCTTGCAATAAATATAAATTTATAGTTGTACCTCTCCAAGGTTTTGCAGCTCTGAATGCAGTGCTGTCTTGACTGATGACATGAATAGTGAGGATACTGCCTTTCCCTCTTCTGAATGTAACATTGAATTTCACCTTGTATTGGGACTGAAATGATTTAGCTACTAAACTAACTTAAAGGTGGCACTGTTTTAAGAAATTATGGAAATTAATGATTTGCTTAGATGATATTAACATAAGTGAAGGGTGTTCTCTCTTCACTGGATGTAAATAACCTCTGATTACAGTATTGTATATTTTAAAGGGGTTTGGTTTACATTAAATTATCCTATTTAAGCATTTTTGCCTATGTTTATAGAAAATTTTTTGTAACATTTGTTTTTCAATATGCTAAATAAAAATTTTTAAGATGCCTCTAATGTTTCAAAATATCAATTTTACACAACTACAGTGAGTATTAACTTTGTATATTTAAGTGGTCTTTTAATTTCCATTGTTCTATGGACTTAATCAGTTTCATTAATTTTTTTGATGATATAAAATACAGTTATAATTTTGTATGTGGGTAGACAATTCTATTGTTTTAAAATTCAGGCTCAGTTTTTATCATAGTTGCAAATTTGTATTATTTCCTATTTTTTAGAAAAAAGCATTTAACACTGAGATGAGCCCATTTCCTTAGAGTCTGGTGTTAATAACAGCAAGGTTGTGCTTCAATCCCTGTATGAGCTGTTCACTTAAGAGTTGGACTTGATGATCCTTCTTGGTCCCTTCCAACTCAGAATATTCTGTGATTTGTTGTAGCCACAGCTAAATAACTCACAGGCTGAGGGAAAGGAAACTATCAAAAATATTGAAGTTCAAAGTTCCCTTCAGCCACTTTAAAGTGGTTACAACATGTCATGTCAGCTCTAGAAATAATGAATTAAAAGAGAGCAAAACCAAACCCAGCCTTGTGTAATGATCCCTGCTGGAAACTGAAGGTCTCCTTTCCAGGCAATGTGGTATTTTCGGGTCCATCTTCTTAAAAGGCTAATTTATTATTTTATGTTACTATATTATATTAAAGAATACTATACTAAAACTATACTAAAGAATAGAGAAAGGATACTTACAAAAGGCTTAACAAGATACTAAGGAAAGCCTGTGACTCTCTCCAGAGTCCTGACACAGCGGGATAGTGATTGGTCATTAAGTAAAAACAATTCACATGAAACCAATCAAACAAGCACCTGTTGTATAAACAATCTCCAACCACATTGCAAAGCAGCAAAACACAGGAGAAGCAAATCAGATAATATTGTTTTCCTTTTTCTCTGAGGCTTCTGAACTTCCCAGGAGAAGAAATCCTGGTAAAGGGATTTTTCCAGAAAATATGACAGTGACAAGGCAACACAAAGTGAGTGTAATCCCTTGCCACTCTGGTAAGGAGGATAAAGTGTCCCTGGGATTGTCCAGCAGGGCAGGGTCTGTGGGAGAGGCTGGAGAAGCCCAGGGCGAGGTTTGTGTCAGAGCTGTGAACTCATTGCAGTTTTGTGCTGCCCTTAACAAACGGGCAGAGAGAGGTTCCTGAGGCAGCAAAGGGCAGTGACTCCCCAAGCTGTCAGTGCTCAGTGTGGCCCCGTGCTCCCCTTGGGAAGCTTTCATTTGTGCATGCCACGCCAGCCCCATCCAGCCAGGCTGCTGCCCTGGTTATGTGGGGCTGCTGTGCGCACGCAGGTTTGTGTCCTGCCACATCCACCAGCACAGGCTGGGTGTGCCCTGGCTCAGGCCCTGCAGAGGCTCCCAGCTATGGGAACAGTGCTGAACTGGTGTCATGAATCTCAGTGTCTATACAAATCACATCATTGTGCAGGTTACCAGTGATGAATGCTCATTATTTATTGTTTCTCATGCCCAGAGAACTGTGCTCTGCTGCTCTAAATCACTCTGATAGATTTCTTTTTATTTTCTGCATAATGTGAGCTTTGTAAATGTCTCCGAGTGCCACTTGCTGATTTTTAAAAAGAAGGAAAACCATGTTCAGCTGAAAGCACTGAGGTGACATCTGTACTTTTTCATTGCTTGCTGCATGCACATTTGATTGATTTGCTACAGGGTAATTGAACTTTGAATTTTGCCAGAAAGTTGAAGAACACTTTTCTTCTGCAGGGGTATCTCAGTAATTGTATTTTTCATTTGGCAGTGAGTTATTGAGTGCTAAGTAACAAGCCAGTGCAGGAAAGGTCTTGCTTAGGCTACCTTGACCATATCTGTCTATCTGTAGATAGATACAGATATCTCCAGCACATATACAGCATATTATACAGGACTTGCTTACCATTTAGATCTGTGCAAGTGTTTGCTGTAGTGTCACATCTGTGTCCTCTTTGCCTGTCCTCTCTGTGTGTATCCTGCAATAAAAACACACTGACTGCTGTGCTGTTTTCCCCTTTAGAAACAAAGCCTAAGAATCAAAATGACAATTTTCAGTGTGCTCTGCTGTTTCCTTCTCCATTTGGAAGCATTGTTCATAACTGTGTGGCTCCCAGAGTTAGCTGAGGAGCTTAAAGCAAGAAGGAAACAAGTATTTAAAAATTCATTTTGCTACTGCCAGCAATGAAATCTCTGCATAAGGACTAATCTGTACCAGATTGTCTCCCTGCCCTTTCCTGTGGTGTGGGATGTGTTTT